TGATTCTTAAAGACTCAGGAGGCTATGTTTTCTCTGAGTGACTTTCTATGAATTTGTCTTTCAGTATTTTAAGGCATGCATTACTTTATTTTTCTAGCTCTTTAGTCATTAACTGGAAAGCAACAAACTTAGATTAAATTCACACTCTTAGTTCTTGTGATTCTTAAAGACTCAGGAGGCTATGTTTTCTCTGAGTGACTTTCTATGAATTTGTCTTTCAGTATTTTAAGGCATGCATTACTTTATTTTTCTAAGTACTGCATCATTATTTAAGCAGTGACCTTAAACATGTAAGAATAGAAAGCAGAGAACTGCATGTTCATGGCTCTTGGGTCAGACCAGTCTGAAAAGCATGTTCAGATCACCTTCTTGAGAGACAACCTGACAAGGGGGTAGCAATAAGACAGGCTCCAACTAGACAGGACCACAGTGTTTTTACTTTATGATGGTGTAAAAGCAATGTGCGTTCAATAGAAATAAAACTTTGAAGTTTGAGTTTTGATATTCTTCTAGACTGGCACTACGATGCTCTCTGGTGACGCTGCGCAGTGGCAGTGAGGCCCAGCTCCTAGTCACCATGAGCTCATGAGAGGAGGCAAGAGTCACTCTACAGTATACCACCGCCAAGCTAGGGTGTTGGAAAGACTGGATGATTTTGCTTTTACAAAGGCAAGTACTAGTGTGTAACGTGTTCTTAATGAGATTTGTCTTGATGAACATAAGAAATCTAAAGTTTCATATTCTGTTACACTGACCATTTGCTAGTGAAAAATAATCTTCTCTTTCAAATAGGAAGTATTCTCTTAGTGTTTGGTAGCTTATTTTGGTATGTACTTCCAAAATCTCACAGATAAAAGATGCACATAATGTCATCACAAAAACATGCAAATTCATTAAGAAACAGAACACTTATAAAAGGACTCAACCAACTATCTCTTCCATTTTGAATCAGTCATCTATTTTAGACCATGTAGTCCATACCACCGGATCTCTGATTGTAGAAACTTGTAAACTTCTGATTATTTCATTATATTATATTATATTATATTACATCGACCAAAGTATAAAGATTTTAGGTTGAACTAAATAATGTTAATTTCATAAATCATATTAAATGCTACTGAAATCAACTCTCAAAGATGGCAAAATTAGACTACTTATAACAAATCACAAGAAAAGAAGCATGAATGATGATTAGATAGACATTTCAAGTATTCTGAATGTCAAAGGATCAATGAAGGATTTTTAAGAGAACTACAAGTAACCAAAAATATTTTTTAAAAATGATTACTTGATGTCACCACATACTATTATATAATATTGACAAGATTATGCAAAACTTAGTTTTACAAATATTGTTTTTAAAGAAAACTAAATTATTTTAATATCTTAGTTCTTAATAACTTAGTTCTTTCCATGATACAGTCCCATTTTTCTATGTTTCATAATGAAATTTTGTATCTTTTTTCAAGAGAATCCTAAAGTAATAGCCTCTTATCTCTGCTAGTTTATCTTAGATAACACAAACCTAAATATTTCTCTTCTTTTTGGGTATCAGGGAATTGAACTCAGACCCTCGCACTTGTGAGGCAGGTGCAGTGCCACTGAGCTAAATCCCTGGCCCCAACAAACCTAAATATTTCTTAACCTATTTCACTTTTCAGAAGAACTGATTATACATTTGAGAAAACTGTAGAGCCTAATCTAAAACTAATCATGCAAAATATCCCTATTCCAAGAATCACAACCACCAATTTTGGGGTTTTTTTATTTTTTTGGTACTTAGCTTCCTAAATATTCTCGGTGAGATTAAAAGTTATATGTCCCTTTTTTAGTGACTATTGAATGACACACGCAAAAGAATTCTAAAATATTCTTCTATATCTACCTGAAAATATGAGGTAATTTGCACTTTATCAGTACCTTAGCTTAATACCAATTTTTACCAATTTAAACACAGCTCAGCATCATTTTTGCCAAATGCCCTAGCTAAACTCATCTTCATCCTCATTTCCTCAAATATTTGCCCTTATACATGACACATGATAGTATCCCAAATGACAACCTTATCTAGATTGAAATTCTCTATTTTGAAAAACTTAATAAATGTCTAGTGACCAAAATCACTGCTTCTGGCTAGTTTCTACTAAATCTTCCTCTCTTAAGAGGGAATACATTTAAAAGTTGATAACTCTTGCATAAGAAAAAGGATCACTGCAAAACATCATCTTGGTTAAGACAAAATAGGTCTTGAAACATTTATAATATATCCATTCAGAATCTATGAACTACCTAACCCTAAGATAAAACTAAAATTTTATCTATGATTTTGATGGCACTTTTAATATGTTTCTGATGAAAAAGGCTACCAGTTTGGGGAAGCAATAATCAGACTCCTTTTGGAGCATTCTCAGAGCTTAGAGTTGTTTAGCAGAAGTCTTATTTAAAAAGAATCTACAAAAAAAAAAAATCATGACAGACCTTTTATTCTTCTTTGATCTTCCAGCAAAGTTAGTTCAAATCAAACCAAAACAGACATTACAATCTCTAAATTGCCTGATACCTATAACATCTTTTCAATCACATACACTTGTACTTAGGTCTTATGCATACGTTTACACTCACACACCCAAACACTGTAAGTATTTATGTGCTCTATATATTTTGAACTCATTAATGCATGAACTATGACACTCACACTCAAATTTAAGTGTTTTTACTTTATTGTACAACACTGTACTATTTTCAACACATTTATTAATGTGAGGAATATTTGAATGGTTCTATTAAATTTTCACTCATTGGAAAACTAAAATGGTTCTTTGGCTATCTTTGGTGGAGGTAGTATCAGAAGATAAAAGGATGAACCCTGATAAGCTACAGTCACAATCATTTATAGAACAATTCAAACAACCAGAAACTATGTATTCACCACTCATCTAAGAAGTCAATATTTTTAACTCCACTCTGTCAGGTGACATGCTCTGTCCCGAGGTTATAGTAATATCCTAATTAAATTATAGGAAAATTAAATGACAAATTTTCCTATTAAATTTAATAATAACTTCAATATCACCACACTGAGTGGTCTGATGCAATGGGAAAAATGAATACACAGTTAACAATTATGGAGTGACGATCTCCCAGCTCTAGAAGGTTTGTAGTATACAGACATAATAATTCTTTTACTAGTTCTAAGAGACATGTGACCTATAACTGGATAATGGTTCATCTTTTTCTTAGCTTGACACAAAACACTAGGTAACCAAATAATTTTCACATTTTCTAGAATTCACTTCAAGAGAAGTCACCACAAAGCTTAATTTATATACTTATGGAGGCAAAATAAAGACCTAGGGTTGAGATACAACAGTAGAAAATAAGAAACAACAGTTTAAAATGTGTATGTGTGTATTTGGTGGAAAGTGGGAGAGTGGTAGAAAGAAGTCCCAAACATGATAGATTCCAGCTCAGGAGGCTGTGTCATCACAACTGCACTGCAGTTGTCTATCCACTGAAACTGACAATGCTATCTGCCCGGGACTCAGCACTGCCCTATCAACTACACTTTGCATTCATTCATTTTGGACCTTACTACTTAAGAAGGAGGGATATTAGCCTCATTTTTACACAGTGGAAATTGAGCCTCAAAAATAACTTAAGTAGCTTGATGAAGGAACCAACGTCTTCTGAGTTCAAAGCTCCTCCCCACTTTTTATACCGTATGGCCTCTTAGGCATACTTAAGAACATGGAGTGAATGAGATTTCTAAGCAAATAAATGTGGAGAAGAACAGAGGGCCAAACACAGGACTTTGAACTTGCCTCTATCCTACAGAGCCTTAGAGTGTTCCAGCATTGGGTTCTTTCCATAATCTTCCCAAAGGGCTCAATACATACTCCATATTGGTGTATATCACTCACACGTGGACTTGGGTTCCATTAGAAGCTGGATCCCCGAGGGCCGGGGATTTAGTTCAGTGGTGCTGCCGCCTGCCTCATAAGCATCAAGGTCCTGAGTTCAATCCCAGTACAAAAAAAAAAGAAGAAGAAGAAGAAGCTGCACCTCCAGAAGCCCCTTTATGGCACAGAACCAAATACAAGATGTCAACATATTGACTGAAACCTCCTCTGTTGCTAATTTGGTTCTACTTGCTTTGTTATATTAGAATTATTTATTTTTGGTGCAGAGTACTATCATTATTTAGTATTAATTGTTTTACCTAACAACAGCTAAGTTCGCACACTGTGGGATGAACCTGAGCTTGCAGATGTTGGCAAATTCTAGGCAATTTTGAGAATTTTATCCTTGGAACCCCTTCCCATAGCAAGATTCTCTAGATTACAGATCCCGCTCTTTAGCCAATTCGGCTAACTTGGCTTCTTATCTTGTACTTCACTGGCTTTGCTTGGTGATATTCTCCCCAAAAACATAGTTCAATTGGTTATTTATGTAAATTCAGCACTAAATATATGCTTTTATTCTTTTTTAGGAAAAACTTTCCAAAATTTTCATGGGCCATTCTTCTTAGTATTCTCTGTTATTCATTCTGTTTATGCTTTCAATGGAACAAAGAAAAAGAAAGCAAGAATAAATTTTTTCCTTTAGATTTCTTTCCAATTTTTTCTCAAGTTCTAAATTTTTATCTAGTGGTATCATAGTAATACGTTAAATAAAGCTCTTTCACATTATGTAAACAATTCGTGAACTTAGCCATGTACTTTGAAATTTTATAGAAGAAAAAGGAATGAAATTGGTTGATAGATATAATTAAATACTTTTTCAAACTATTCTGCTCAATCAAACGATTGCTGTAATAAAGGCAAGGTGTTCAAAGAAGTCATAGCAAAGCAATCACTTCACAAATCCACAAGAACAAGTTTCTTCCTCTGAGTTTCAGTCAGTGCTCTCTTCATTGGATAAAACTTTGTTAAATAAAAATGCTGGGTTATGGGGAAGGAAGAAAGTTTGATGAGAAAAGACTACATTCTTTCACTTACCGAAACAACAACTACAGGATATAAAATGGAAAGGTTGCTTTCCTCAAGCATGCCCAATAATTTCTGGGTGTTTTGAAAATCAGTTGTCATGACCTGGAAGACCAAGAAAGTGAAAAGAAACTTTTAAATGGTTTAAAAGTTAAGAGAGAAATGGAGAAATCTTATACCACATTCAAAATATTTATCAAGTGTATTTTTCAAAGAATTTAAAAGAATATCCGTAAGTTATATATATGTATTAAATTTGAGTTACTTATTCATTCAAACAGTTATATCTTATAGTCTGCTTAATACCAAGTATAAAATAGAAAATTAAAAATATTGTCTAAAGAAACACCATCTCATCTTGCTAGAAAATGTCATTTTCCTATTTTAAATGATAAAAAATAAAATTTCCTAATACATACTAAATAATACAATTTACCTATCAAAAATTTACATTCAAATATTTAAAGATCCAGAAAAATTAGTACTTCTCTTTGATACTGCATTTGTTCAGATCTTTAACTTCTTTAAATCATTTGTACTTACTACTTACATTCATACAAACAAAACTGTAGCATTGTCCTAAGATGATGTGCTGAATACTGCTGCCATCATGACATGGAACCACAGATGTCATTTTTACATGCTAGGAGAAAATGCACATAGAAAAAAATTCACAAAATGGATAAAAATACAAAATACAGGGCTGGAGATTTAGCTCAGTGGCACCGTGCCTGCCTCGTAAGAGAAAAATTGAACTTCAGCAATAATAATAGATTAAAAACAGACTGCCAAAGAGCTAAATGCAAGAGATAGTCTCAAACTTGGAAGGAATGGTGCATATGACCTTTATAATAAGATTTTTTTTTCGTATAACTTAATACTCTACTTCAAGTTTTTCCTATTCCAATGATATGAACAAAAACTCAAAAATTAATACACAAGGGATCTTTTATAATGGTATCTCTAATGAATCCATAGGAACTCACGTTTCAGTGGTTCATACTAGCACTACATTTAGAATATTTTACAATTTAGAGTTCCAAAATACCATGCTGTTCTTAACTAAAACATCCAACTGAATCTGTAAGACCATTATCTACTAAATAGCTTAATTTTATATAACTTCGACAAGATATTGGGAAATGGCGAAGGGAAGATTTCAAGATCTTAGCTTAGTTATACAAATTAGTTGATTTATAAATTTTAAAAAATGTATTTCCAGTTATAATTTTTACTGGACACAAGGTTCAAGGAGAACACTTAAAAAACAACCTTCCATGCCACCCGTTATATAAAAGACATCGGCTTATACTCTAAGGTATTAACCTTGATCAGTGAGTAACATCTTCTAGTCTTCTATATTTTACAAGGAGACATTTTCTCCTTAAATCTTTCATGTTCCCAAACATTTGCAAAAGTATTAACAGCTAACTTGCTCCAGACTATCTTCAAGAATGTTTGCATACATAGTGGGTAGACTTGCAAACATAGCTATTTCTCTTCCTAGGGAAGATTTACTTATTTTCCAGAAAACAAAGACACACCAGTTTCTTTGAAGTAGATTTGCATGAAATAATAAAGATTTCTTTGGGAACAGAAGCATGAGCTTCTTTGCCAGCAGCCTGAGTTTCTAATATAAAGGTTCTTTTTAACAGTAAGAAACCCAAACTATCTGTGGGATTTGAAATTTAGAAAACTAGTGCTACTTTGTTTTACTAAAGTCCCAGATATTGTGCCAATTATCGATACTGTGTCACACTCACTTTTTTTGCATGCAAGTAGAGTACAATCTCAGATCCTGACAAGCTTTTGACTTGACAGATACACAAGATCATCAGATCTTACCTTCAACAAAGATATAGAAATGAGTTCTACACTCAGAAAAAATAACTTACACTAAAAATTCCTTTGGAATATAAATAAAGAGGCCTAGGATGAGAATGCAAAGCATATTCTTATACAACCATCCAAACAAGAAAACAAAAAATAGGTAAAATTCTGTTATACAGTCCTTGGAATCCATAAAGACAGAAACAGTGACGTTTTTAACCACCAACATATACTTAGCAAATAGTTCAAAATTTTGTCACAGTTTTTTAAAGGAAAAAGATCTTGTATTTTTAAAAAAATGTATATATGTCCTAAAAATTGGCAGTGTGGAGAAAAAATTTTAAATTTTAAAAGTTAAAAAAACTCATTCAAAAATACAACTCCAAAGAAAATCACTTTGAATACTAGATAGATTTGATTCTTAAAATTCTCTATCAATAATATATATAATATATATTCTCTATAATTATTCTCTATCAATAATATAGTGAAAATAGGCATAATTCCAAAACTGCTATTACATATTTAATTCAATCCCAATTGAAATTCCAACATCACATTTCAAAGAACTAGAGAAAAAAAACCCAAAATTTCATTTGGAACCAGAAGAGACCTAGAGTAGCAAAAGCAATTCTAGGCAACAGAGACATAACACAGGGTATCACAATCCCCAATTTGAACTATATTACGAAGCCTCTGTCATAAAAACAGCATGAAACTGGCAATGAAACAGACCCGAGGATCAGTGAAATAGATTAGAAGATGTAGAAATAACTCCATACATATTCAGATACCTCATCTATGACAAAGGAGCCAACCATCTTCACTGGAGAAAAGATAGCCTCAATACATCATGTTAGAAAAACTGGGTTTCAACTTTCCAAAGTTTAAAACTAAACCCCTATCTTTCATCATACACTAAAGTAAAATCCAAGTGGATTAAAGATCTAAGTATTATAACAGAAACACTAACTTGCTGGAAGATAAGTTAGGTAGGACTCTCAAAGACAATGGCATAGGAAAAGACTTTATGAACAAATCCTCAGTAGCATGGGAACTAGCACAAAGAATCAACAACTGGGATCTCTTCTTATTGAAAAGCTTCTGCAGTGCAAAAAAAAAAAAAATCAACAGAGCTAAGAAACAACCTATAACGTAGGAAAAAGACTTTACCAGCTGTTCCTCAAAGGTCTATTATCTAGAATATATAAAAAACTAAAAACAAATCAGACCCCCAAATATAAAGACCCAAATTTTTTTTAAAAAGGCATGTAAAATGAACAGACATTTCTCAAAGAAGTTGAAATAGCAAATAAACATATGAATAAATGTTTGACATCACTGGTTATTCCAGAGATGCAATGAAACAATGCTGAGACTCCACCTCACCCCAGAAAGAATGGTTGCTATCAAGAAATCAACCAATATTAAATACTGGCACAAATCGAGGGAGAAAGGAACCCTTCTTGATTGTTGGTGGGAGTACAAACTAGTGCAACCATGGGGAAATCAACATGGAGATACCTTTAAAAATTGCATTGGAAGTCTCATTTGACCCAGCTATTCCCCAGCTGGGTATCTTCCCATAAGAATTAAAAGAGTCATAGCACAGTGATATATGCTCACCATGTTCATCAGCACAGTTTGTAATAGCTAAAACTTGGAAACAGCCCAGTTGCCCATCAGCAGGAGACTGGATAAAGAAGATGTATTTTTTAATAAAATGGAGGACTACTCAGCCATAAAGAATGAAAAATTAGAGACATTTATTTCTAAGTAGATGCACAGTGAGGCCATACTCTTAAGTGAAATAAATAAGACACACGTGTAAACACTGAATAGTTTCTCTGGTGTGAAAGACTGAAAGTGCAAATAAGGATCAAAATGTATAATTGATATTGTGAGATAGGAAGAAAATGTCTAAAGGAGTAGGGGAAGTGGGAGACGTAGGGGAAAAGAAAGAAGGGAAAAGAAAAAATACGAGAAATGGAAAAACATGGAAACAAAGTCTTCGTAAATAGGGAAGGATGGAGGGGGTGAAGGGAGGGCAGAGGAATGGGGAAAAAAAAGAACCAAGATAAGTCATGTAAAGGTGCAAGATCCTAATGCTGAATGTAACTGTATTATATACCTAAAATGTACTAAGAAACTTAATGAAAAAATAATATATGTATGAGCTAAAGGAATAAATGATGGATTTTATTAAAGTGAGATTGTACTAAGTGTCACATTTTAATTACTTCATTTTAATGAAAGAAAACCAAATATAGTAAAGGTGAAGTATTGCTAAATTCAAGATAATTCTCCATATCCAGGAAGGCTAAAAGCTGAGAAAAGATAACAGACACATAATAAAGATACAATAAATACTTTCCACAACGCCCCCATCCATATATAAGTAAATACTGACTTACTTCTGAGAATGAAATATATCTTAATTTTCACCAACAGACTAGTCATCCTCATATTTTTAGCCACACAAGGTTTATTAGATCCATGTTCTAGGGCAAGGGATTTAGCTCAGTGGTTCTGCTGCCTGCCTTGCAAGCACAAGGACACAAGTTCAATCCCCGGTAAAAAAAAAAAAAAAAAAAAAAAAAAAAAAAAATCCATGTTGTTGTTCTAATTGTAGCTATAATTTACATATTTTAGACTTATAATTCAAGAATACTAACTTGTGAACAATATTTTCTACTTCTAAATTATTTAGTTTTACCCATTTCTTTATTGGGTGAATGTCACCTGTAAGATACTGTAGATATTTTTGTTTTGTTTCTTCACCCAAAATCGTCACAATATTTTTTGTTCCTCAAGCTTTTCCTTTTGTGCTATAAAAAACAGCTTGCAGTCTAGAAATGAAAGTTGCTTCACACTGTTTCCCTCACAGATTTGTAGTCTCTCCCCATTATGCTTAAACACAGTGTGCTTCCTTGGAACTTCCTATACTCTGTTATTTATCTACACTCCTGTCTTCATTTTATTGGGTATATTTCAACTTGTCAAAGAAATCCTCATAGATGTTACATTTGAAATTCTACTTGCTTTTTTCTTTAAAACTGTAAGTCTATTTGGGCAATGGAAATATTATTGAATTCTGCTTCCATCTGAAATTTTTTTGGCAAGGCAGCATTATACTTAGAGGGAAATCTGAAAATCTGAGAAGTGCATTAGTCTGTGCTCCTGTTTCACCGTTTCGGGTTTTGCACCTAGGTGTATTTCTGAAAAATTCTGTATGTAGGTAATAATTTTAATCACAGAAAGTTTTATTAACAATCACTATTTCTCAAATTTTGCTGAAAATAAGCTGTTCACTTCATACAGGATCAGTGTATTACATGATGGAATTTTTCTTCTACTTTCCTAAAGCATGTCTTGGTTTTTCTACTTGAAACACAAAAATTATCTATATTTGATGCCTTTATCATTCACATCTATTGTTTTACTTACTTTTTACTTGGAAATATACTATAATTATCTTAAATTTTCCCTCTATAGTAGTAATGAAATTTTTGCTATGTTGCTAATAGATTAGTCAGTTCTGTAATAGTACTATTCTAGCTTTACTAATTTTATTTCCTCATTCAATCACTGTTAATCTCTTGCAATATGGTCTTTAGCATTTTTAAAATTCAAATTCTAAGTTCTATAGAATAAACAGATGTGATATTTTGGGAACAAGAACAGTCTTAGGTTTCTTCTAGATTTATTTCATTAGATTTGTGTGTCCCATGATTACTTTCAGTACAAATTATACTGTTTCCTAGAATGTTTTATGAAATGGACAATTAAAAAATGGCAGACACTGACAGGAAC